GGGGTGTGGGGGTGTGGGGGTGTGGGGGTGTGAGGGTGTGGGTGTGGGTGTGGGTGTGGGTGTGGGTGTGGGTGTGTGCGTTCGCTCTTCCTCTTCCTGGCTTCTGAACAAGGGCCCAAAACGGTTTCAGGACGGCCCTAAGAGGGCCCGAGGCAGCCCAAGAGGCCCACAAACCGGCCCAAAAACGGCCCCACGATATCCCCGAGATGACCACGCAAGCCCCCAAGAAGAGTCCGAAATGTCACCCAAAGACGCCCAAAACCGCATCTCCAGCATGCGTCCGTCAAGAGGCTCAAAGAATGCCGAAGGACGTATTGAGGTAGTTCGAAAGCAGTCCAGCAATGAAGGCGAAGTCATTGAATTTGAAGCCCTGCTGGTCCGACCAGGAGGAGTTCCCGCACGTGCTCCGCAAGCTGGCGCCGCAGCACACGCATTCAATATCAAGGCTGCGTTTCCTCCTTCCTCCGTCTTTCCTCGATCTTCCCGCAAGTGCTCCGCCACTGGCGCGACAGCGCGTGCATTGTGTATGAAGGCAGGTTGGCTCAAGTTCGGTTTAAACTGCTCCGGCCTCGTCATGTTTTTTCTCGCCACGTTGGGCATGAAGTTCCGGACCGTCCCATCATCTGCGCAAAGGACCCCCCCACCATGCCGACCACGGGGGGCACGAGTGGCCCCGCCCTCTCAGGCAACGCCGTCGCCAGCGAGGCAGAGCCCACTTGCGCCGCGGGGGCGCGAGGCACACATGCGAGGGCGCCTGCGCCGGAGCCGCGGCCCAGCGCGCTCGGGCCGGGCGGGGCGGACGCCGCGGCGCCCTGGAGATACGAGGCCTTGCGCGCGCTCGGTTCCGGGGCATTCGGGGCGGTTTTCTGGCGAGGGTCCGCGAGACCAACGGCAGGGTGGCGCCCAGGCGTCTGAGACTCAACGACCGCTAGGACGGTATGCCCGCGGCGGTCATCCGCGAATGGTCGCTGCTGCTCGACCTTGTCCACCCGAAAATCGCGCGGCTCAAGGGCGTGCAGAACGTCGGCCTTGGCTGAACGGGTTCGAGCTTAACTTCGAGTACATCCCAGACGACTTGCGCCGCAGCGGGCCGCCACAGGGAGGGCACCCAGATGCCTATGGATATGGTCGCGCGGTGCTCACAGGATCTCCTCAATAGAAACCGCGCGTGATCGATCGCGACCTGAAACCGCGGAACCGCCTCCAGCTGGACCCCGCGGCGGTTGCCAGCATCGCCATGCCCCCAGAGGTCGCGGCGGAGGTAGGCGCCTGCGTCGAGTTCGCGGTGCTGCGGAGCGCCTCCGAAACCGATGCAGCGCAGCAGGAGGGGGCAAATGGAAGTGCAAAGGTCGCGCCCCCTTCCGCCGGCGCGCGCGCCCGCGGCGCCGCCCCCTCGCGGGCGCGTAGAAATCCCGGGCGGCCCCGCGGGCTTCAAACAGCTTCGGCGGCGATTGGCCGCGGAGGTGAGCCGTCTGGGGAACGTCCGGCGGGGCGCTCGCACGCGCGCGCGCCGCCCCTCCAAGGAGCTGGACGCTGGTGTCTTCTTGTTAAGAGACGACTTCCCGCGCGGGGCGAGCAGCTGCTTGCGCGGCGCAGGGGCCCAGCAGGCGAGCGGTCTCCATTGGGTCGCGCCCTGGCGGCGCGAGCCCCGGCGCGTCGCTTCCGAAGGGCCCGGGCAGCAGGGGGCTCTTCGCAGGCTTCGTTTGACCAGTGCTGCGCGCGCTACTGGACCGCAGGCGACTGCTTGCGAATGCTTCAGCGGTGCGCCCTGCTGCGCTACGTCGATCCCGTGAGTGCGTCGCGCACGCTGATTTCGATTGTTTTGCATGTTCTAGTCGCGGGGCATCTGCGGCGACGTCTCGCGCCCGCGGGCGCTCCGCGGCGCCGCCATGCTTGCTTCGCGGATGACGACGTCGCAGAAACAAGTTGCCTCGGCGCAAGGACCTGGCCGTGCGCACCTTTGAATGCCGTCGTCGCGGGCATCGCCTTCGGGAGACCCCCTCATGGGACCGCGAAGCGCTGTGCTGGGTGGGCGGGGGGGGGGGGCGCGTGCGAACGCCGCCGCCGGGGCCTTCCGCGGAGCTCCCCATGGCGCCGCGAAACGTTGCATTGGGCGGGGGAGACGCATGCGAAAACCGCAACTGGGACCTCTGGTGGAACTTCCCATCGGGCAATGGATCGCTGTTCTGGGCGGGGAAGACGCGCGCGAACGCCGCCGCTCGGGCCGTCGGTGGAGCTACCTACGGGGCCACCAAGCGTTGTACTAGGTGGTGGAGACGCATGCGAACGCTGCCACTGGGGCCCCCAGTGGAGCTCCCAACGGGGCCACGAAGCGCTGTGCTGGGTGGGGGATACGCACGCGAAGCGCAGGACGCGAAGAGTTGAACTCGGCGGGGGGGGGCGCGCGCGGACGACGCTACTGAGGCCTGCAGTGGATTTCCCTCTGGAGCACCGACGCGCAGCACTGGGTGGGGGGCGGGCCATGCGAACGCCGTCGTCGAGGCCTTCGGTGGAGCTCCCCACGGGGCCGCGAAGCGTTGCATTGGGCGGGGGAGACACATGCGAAGACCGCCGCTGGGGCCTTCGGTGGAGCGCCTTTTGGGGCAACGACACGCTGTTCTGGGCGGGGAAGACGCATGCGAACTGCGCCACTGGGGCCTTCGGTGGAGCTCCGCATGGGGCCACGAAGCGGCGTTCTGGGCGCGGGAGATGCATGCGAACACCGCCACGGGGCCTTCGATGGAGCTCCATATAAGGGTCACAAGGCGCTGTGCTGGGCGGGGGAGACGCATGCGAACGCCGCCACTGTGGGGCCTTTGGTGGAGCCCCGCGCAGGGCCACCAAGCGCCGTTCTGGGTGGGGGAGACGCGTGCGAACTACGCCACAAGAGCATTATGTGGAGCTCCCTCTGGGGCCACGCAACGTTGTGCTGGGCGGCGGAGACGCGTGCCAACGCCGCCGCGGGGCCTTCGGTCAGCCCCCTATAGGGCCGCGAAACGTTGTGCCGGGTAGGGGAGATGCGTGCGAACGCCGCCACTGACGCCTTCGGTGGAGCCCCCGAGAGGGCCGCGAAACGTTGTACCGGGTAGGGGAGACGCGTGCGAACGCCACTTCTGGGGCCTTCGGCGGAGCCCCCCATAGGGTCACGAAGCGCTGCCATAGGCGCGGAGGGCAGAGGCAGAGGTGGCAGGACGGGGAGAGGGGGCCGTCTGGCGCAGGAGGAGGTCAATCGCAACGTCGCAGCAGAGATCGTGACCATGCTGGGATGCAGGCCGGCCATGAGAAAATGCACGTCGAGGCCCTCCTGCGTCGCATCGACCACCGAGGTTCGGACGTTCGGCCGCGTTGTGGGGAGCTCGACAAATCCGCCATCTGCTGGGAGGCGCGCGCAATAGCGGCGCGCGGGTGGAAGGCGTCGCAGCGCAGTTCCGCCCTCGAGGCGGCGGCCTTCCGGCCTTCCTCCGCCGCATTGTCGAGGCGCCCCAGCACAAAAGGTTCATCAGTAAACGCTTCTCTCATGTAGTCGACAGCCAGGCGGCAGCAGCAGCAGCAACCACTAAAGGCCGGTCGCCTTCCGAGCCTTGAAGCCCAACTATCGGAAGGTGGCCGACAGTGTGCTGGCTGGGAATATTTGCC